GGCCCAGGAGATGTAGTTAGGACACCTTTTGTTTTTAAGTATTCAGAATGAAGGGGCTTAGTTATGACATTCCCGTAAAAGTTTTCCCCAAGAGCAGCTAGAGAATTAATCTTTCAGCAGTATGACACGTTTGAATGGAACATGCTGCACAGCTACTCTATGATATCATACAAGTTCATGGCCCATATTCATAATGCATCTCAGAGTAAGAGTGCTGATCTAGGATCAGCCTTTTAGATCAGAATGAACACAATATTATGGACAGAGGGACCTGATCCTAGATCAGTGCTACTACTCTGAGATGCTTAATGAATATGGGTTCTGAACTTCTCCCAATTTTACCTTTTCCCTAGTTCGACAGTTGGTTGTATGGAAACCGTAACCTGGCAACTGGCAGCCACACTGTACTTTTGCACCTTTGTTCAATACCCCACCAGCCGACACTTTATTGTTTGAGTCATCTAATATTATGGATGGAGGAGGACACACTGTATTCTTTCTGAGACCTTTGACTTGTTTGCATAAACCACCTGATGGGTTGACATGGCAGTGAGGGACGAGAACTTGGAAAGGAGGTTAATCTGATATGTTTGGCTAAGACCTCATGACAAGTAATAACACTCCTGGAGACTTTCAGTGAGACAGCAGTGAAACGTCTTGTAATTCACACTGCCACTCATCTAGACTAATCGATAATAGTTTTTAAAAGTCAAGAAATTCTTAGAAAAAGCACTTGATATGTCAGCCCTTCAAGACTTCCCCTCAACTTCCCCTGCTTACTAATGTTACTGAAGCTCATGTTTTCTGAAGTACTTTTTGACCAGCAATGATGGGTCAACCAATTCAGTAACACAATAGTTACCTTTTAATGAAAACATTAAATTCACAATCATATTAGTTATAAAAGTGACCCATATAAAAACGAATCCGTATTATACTGTACATATATGTTGAATATGTGATACACATCACAGCATCAACTAGGAATACCTGACAGTTTTAACAGTTTATTAGCTTATTATTGTATCAAAGTGTAGTAAATGCAAACTGTAGGTATTTTCACTTAGATACTACAGCCCCTGTTTGGTGTTGGTAGCTAACCAAAGTACCATAACCACCACACCCTCGTAGAGAATTACCAACTCTTTTTGTCTCCTCTACTGTAATTTCATCACCTCTAAAGTGCAGCAAATAATGACAGGACAGTGTTGAGGTCACACACTTCGAAGACAAAACACACAACAAAGTTTTTTGACACATTTCTCACGTAACTCACACTGCCCTTTTTTGTATTTCTGACAATAATATTTTAGAAATGTATACAGTACATCACCTTCAATTCTGATGTGAATTTCAAATGTTGCTGTAAACTCATTAAAATGTCAGTCATATTTTCTTCAGCATTGTGGTGCATATAATGTGGAACACAATAACACATAATATGACAAACAAGAAACAATAAATAAAGAGACAAAAGTACTACTATGCTGAAATTAAAGCTTTGTGCCTATGACATTATGGCATAAGAGGACTGGCTGTTTAATACCTTATGCCACCCAGCTTGAATCCTGGATGTCCATTTAATTTTCTTCAAATTAAACAAATACTTCACAGTCATGGTTTAAATGAACACGTCAGTGTACATTAAGATGTGTGTATGGATGCACACATATCTTGGTAGAACTAGCCTATTGCTGGAAATGTTGCTAAATATGCAAATGTTGAAGAGTGTCACAATATAATGTACAAAATCAATTTTACAGCATTTGATCCTACATCCTACATTTGTCATAATGTAAAAAAGGGCCAAAATTATAGCTTTGATTCAGTAGGACTCCATTGAGGGGGCCATGTGTGCTGGATGCTGGAGCAGAATCCTGCTCTTGTTTCTGGATCACAAGCTCCATGGCAGGCAGGAGAGGGACCGTGAAAGCCCCACTCTCCACCGCCACCAAAACCCTCTCTCTGCTCCTTCCAACTTCTCCCTGCACTTTGTGAAGGCTCGCTGAGACGGAACTTGTCTCTGACTTACTTTGGGGACCCAAAGAGAGCAAAGAACAGGCACAGAGGCCCTTAAGATTCTTTTAGGGAAGCAAAAAATGAAAACCAATCATCCTAGAATTTGTACCACCCAACCACCCAGAAAGAATTCACTGCCTCTTTCATCTCCTTCTTCCTCTCCTTCTTCCTCTTCTTCCTCCTGATCAGTCCAAGCCTGTTGTGGAGCATATGAGGAAATACCAAAGCTATCCTCTGCTGTTAGCCCTAGAGGGGCAAGGGGTACCCGGTGTTGTTTGTAACCAGACAAGAGTGTCATTGATGAGGTCTCGCAGTCTGCAAGGGTGATGGGAGGTATGGAGTGAGATGGAGAGTCATTGGAGTTATTGAAACACATTGGAGAGATTGGGGTGTATATTGTTCTCTTCTCCTCTCTCCCTGTACCAGGGTCCAACCACTCTGTCTCCCCCGTGGTGACCAGGTCAGACAATAGTGATGCCCCTTGCCCAGTGCTGTCTAGGTCCCACAAAAGGGGCTGCTCCTCAGCGTCGGTAGGCAGTGCCAGGCTGGCCACAGCACTCTGTGTCTCTGGCTGGAGCAGCAGAGTGGACAACTGCAGTAGGCCGTCAATACGCCGCAATGTGGGCAGTACCAGGGGGTGCGCTGTTGAGTCCCTGTCTCCAACACAACGGTTTGGCTCAGGTGGTGCTCCACACGAAAACAAAACTGGGCCACCTTGAACCCAAATGAGTTTGTGGTCACTGGATTCAGATGACCATGGAGAGTTGATGTTGTCTTCACTGTCTGGATGGCGATGGCATTCTTCCTCCACACCTTCATTGGCCACCTGCACTACGACCATGCTATAGTTGGTGGAGGACTGGGTGCTGTTGTTGGAGTGCTCTAGGGGTGGACCCTGCTGGCCCATGTAGGTGTCACAGTGCTTGGGCTGGGCAATGGAGGAGGGTTCGTCCTGGGGGGAATAGGACCCAGACCCACTGCTGGTGAACTTTGACCCCATCTGGAGTTTACCAGTCTTCAGGTCACCGTAGGAGAACCCCACAGGGTAATGATACGGCTTGGCAATGGAGATGGTGATGGCTTCTGGAGGGTGCCACGATGGAGGTGGGACGTTGCTCGTTGTCAGTTTCTGTGTAGAAGAGAAAGAGGTTTTCGATGACTTAACTATTACTAAAACACCTCTATGACCCCCTCTCCACCCCACCAAACCCTTGGAATCATTGAGTGAGTGGTTACAATGTATGTCAAACAAAATGTATTTGATTCTTTAACTTGTTCAATTACAATTCTTAACAACTTTCATGGCAAGAATGAAATGAGCTCAACTGAAACAACACTGCTGTAATCTTTTGTAATTGCTTTCAGTTCTTGGCATGAAATGCAAATTACAGTGATACAACTGATTAAACAGGGATGATTTCTCAGCATATGATAGGAAATGTAATAAAACAGATACAACTCCTGGAAGATTGGTAAATGCAGTCATTTAAAGAGAAAAGGAAGGATGATAAAGTTAAATAATTTCCTCATAAAACAGTGCAGGTGTAAATTGCAAAGAGATAACATTTTATTGTAACTACTGTTACACATTGTGTCCTGTTCTACGTTTAGGTGTTCCTGTAGAAAAGGGCTGAATGTATTGCGTGTTTGTGGCTGAGATTAAACTCAAGTTCGGTTGCACCCTATTGAGGCCTCTCAAGCACGTGTTACTGTAAGTTTTGCCTGGAGGCCTGTATTTCCAGTAACAGCAACATTTCCTGGCACTCCTTCATGTATGGGGAAATCTCTAATGTACATTTCTTACCAAGGCGTCTGGCATGTTAATCTTCTTTTTCACATAGTGATGACACACCACCACTGGTAGCAGTAGGGAACCAAGTAGCAGACACCCTAAGAGAAGGAACCAGGGGAACAGCAGCCAGAGGTCACCTAGATGGGAGAAGATTGTTTGTATTACACCTCAGTAGTGGCAAAACAGCTGCCTCACTCTCAGAGCCTATTGGAAACAGGCCAATAGGTTGTAAATTGCCAGCTCTGTAGAGCAAGCGTGGGCATGTCCGTGAGATCAGTCAGTACAGTAGTTTCAAGGATTTAAAAACAAGAGGCTCCATTCAGTCTTGTCTTCAGGAAGTGAGCCTTTATATAATCTTTGAAAAGGCAGCAGGAATACCCTTAACATTGTGAAACTACAGTCAATGCATTTACAATATGCCTTTAAGTTCTTTATGGTAACAGTATGGTTACTCAAACTCTACTCATACTTTAGGAATGCATTCACAGATGATTCATTCAACAAAACTAGCAAAGGCAAAAAGGAAAGGCATACCAGCCTGGTCTCATAGACTAGACGTAACATAGTAAATGTAAATCCAGGACACTAAAATTAGTATGATATGTTACATCTGGTATGGTTACATAAGACAGATGGTTACTTAAAGCAAAAACGAAAGTAGGGGGGTTGGTCAGGGTGGATGGGTGGACGTATAACCAAAGGTTGCGAGTTCGAATCTCATCACGGAAAACTTGAGCATTTTAACTAATTAGCAACTTTTCAACTATTTACTACTTTTTAGTAGCTACTTTGCAACTACTTAGCATGTTAGCTAACCCTTCCCCTAACCCTAACCTTAACCCTTTTAGCTAACCCTTCCCCTAACCTTAAACCTTTAACCTAACTCCTAAACTTAACCCTAACCTTAATCCTAACCCCTAACCCTAACCCCTAGACTAGCTAACGTTAGCCAGCTAGCTAACATTAGCCACCTAGCTAGCATTTGTAACATATCATACGTTTAGCAAATTCGTAACATATTGTACGTTTTGCAAATTCATAACATATTGTAAGTTTTGCTAATTCGTAACATATTGTACGTTTTGCTAATTTGTAACATTAAATACAAATTGCAATTTGTAACATATAATACGAATTGCAATCCGTAACATATCATACGAAATGGGTGATGGACAACCTCAAATTAATACCATACGAAACTTAACATATACTAAATGAAGCGTCTCGGATTTACATAACGAATAATACGAAATGCTCTGAGACCAGCTTGGGCATACATACAGAGCCCTGAAGGACACCAAATGACCTCACCTGGTAATGTCACACAGAATGTACGGCTCTCACTGGCATTTCGGTGCAGTTCTCTAGTCGGGGTGTAGACCACATAGCCACAGTACTCTACGTTGTTGTTCTTTAGATGGTTAAGGACAAACTCTCCAGTTGTGTTTTTATGGACCTGTGGAAAAAGAGTCAGCAGTTAGAACATGTTTGTGTATCTAATATGTGTGTGTGTGGGTGGGTGTGTGTGTGTGTGTGTGTGTGTGTGTGTGGGTGTGTGTGTGTGTGTGTGGGTGTGTGTGTGTGTGTGTGTGGGTGTGTGTGTGTGTGTGTGTGTGTGTGTGTGTGTGTGTGTGTGTGTGTGTGTGTGTGTGTGTGTGGTGTGTGTGTGTGTGGGTGTGTGGGTGGGTGTGTGTGTGTCTGCATGCTTCCGTGCATGCATGCGTGTGAGCAGTACGTGTGAGATAATTACCTGTGCTGCCCAGCTAGGATGAGTGATGTTGAGGATATAGAGAGTTGGAGGGTTATGGTAGGAAAAGCTGGTACTGTTGTAAATCTCCTCGATGGAAGCCTTATTATCCGGTCCCAACGGAAGAGTAACTGTCACTTTTAAAGATGATGTTGTGGGGGTCACAGACAAATTGGGTGGCCCAAGGACAGCTGACATGTAAAAGACAAAGAAAGGGTGAGAATAATTGGTGACAAACTGTAGAAAAGAGGATAAAGCCTTTTAGTATGGGCCAAATGCTAACTGGAAGAATTGGTGAATAACATAAGCTTTTATGGAAATCATACATTGATGTCATTATGGAATATGAACAGACAGTTGGAGCTATGTGTATGTATCACAAGTAAGGATTCTGCCCTCTGAGCCAACACATACTCAAAAAACATCCCAATCTAGAAAAAGTATGATAAAGAGATAAAATTGCTTACTGTCTCTCAGAGGTTTAAACATTGCTGTATGGCCTAGCGAGTGACTGTTGCCGAAAACCTGAGCATAGTAGGAATTTTGATAGATGTATGGTGTCTCTGCAGTGAGGTCACAAGAAAGAGTGGTGATGTTCTGGCACACAATCTTCAGCTTGTATGGCTCTCCGTATCTATAATGAACACAAAAAAACATGACCAAACATAAAATACATTATGTAGGGAACCTTTAGTCCAAATGTAATGTTGCACTTTGAAAAAACATTGAGTAACGCTTTACTTGAAGCCTTCAGGTACGATGCTTTTTAAGTTGTTATAAGCATATATGAGCCTTTATCATGACATATCAAATGCTGTAAATGTATTGCCTTTCAGGGTGTGTGTACAGTAGCCCAGCTGCTAGACCACAAATAGTACAACAGAGTTTTGAAATAGGTGTTATTTAACCTCTTACTTCCTCATATAAAAATAACAAAAGGATAGTGTGTCAAACAGGGAACCGATATTAAGTGGGGATGATCAGGGCCAATCTTTTTCTGAACTGATTTATTGGTGGAGCTCTGAGGCCTTGAATAAGGACATGCAAGCAATTCCAGGTGACAGTCTCGGTGAGACAAATCAATGCAATTGGTGTGGCACTTGGCATTTTCCCGTCAGACTATATCATGAGCAATTAGATGAGCTGACATTTCCACTTTGTAAAAGGAATTCAAAGAGGAAGTGAGACAAAGTGAGTGAAACGAAAACATTTGCCTCACATAGCCACAGGTGTACTGAGTGCCGTTTGTAAAGTTGAATAGTACAATTTATTTCACAGATTTATCCCTGTGGTGTGCAGGGAAACAGAGTGAGGCCTGTGGTAATGAACAGAACAGAACCTGTCTGCTAAGGCTTGCCCCAGCCAGTGGAGCTCAACCTGCAGCATGGAGAAGTACAGTAAAATGGCACTTTAACTTAACTTAAACACACACAGTCTCTTCCCGGAGGCATAGTTCCGACTTTCAGCACACATAATAATAATATTTAGCAGACGCTTTTATCCAAAGCGGCTTACAGTCATGCGTGCGCACATTTTTTTGTATATGGGTGGTCCCGGGGATCGAACCCACTACCTTGGCGTTACAAGCGCCGGGCGCTACCAGCTGAGTTACACATCTTTAAAAATGTTGTTGACATAAGTCACATATCACCCTAGGTCACCCTAGGCACATAAATATGTTGTTGGGTTGAAAGGTGAATAGGTGACAGCTGTATTCCTGTCTCTCACCCTTTGTACTGGACACTGTAAAGGACCCCTTCATCTGGGCTGTCGACCTTGTTCCAGTGGAGCACAGTGTTGAAATTCCTAGAGATGAAGTATGGCTTCCCTTCACTAATGGCTGAACAACCTATAGATAAAGAAAAAGACGGTGGGGAAGTTAACTTGAGACTGTCTGTTTACGAATAGCATTCATAGTAAAACGTCTCGCTAGTCATTATACAAAAAGCATTGGTCTATTATTCAGCATTGTCACGACCCATGTGACATGCTCACAACAACAGCCTCTGTCAAAGGATCTGCCTCCCTTGAGATACGCTTGCTCCATTTTCACTCACGGCTGCTGTGGGCCGAACTCAAGTTGGGCTTACGTAAGCTGGGCTGGGCTTTGTTTCTGTGGCAGCAGGAACTAAAATGTGTAATTGTTCCTGGACTACAGGGGAGGGAATATAAGCAGCTGGACATGTGGAAGCAAGACAATTGCTTGATTTGAGTGAGAATAGGATCAAACAAAAGCAACAGTCTGGGTCTGTAGGGCCCATCCACAAAGGGATGTTTAAAAAATACAGTGTCCACTGTAGGACAGCCTTAATTCCTCAAGGAGTTTGCGCCAGTCTTATCAGGACTGTATAGTAAGATAGAAACTATAGTGGAAGAATGAGAGAAGGTGATACTCGCGACTAGCGACTTGCAGGCGCTGAGGCCCAGCGTGATGACTCAATCATGGTTTATGACATTGTTTGGATGGCTGACCATCTGTGGGCTATCACAGGGTTAAAACACACCTTATCTGTGGATTTCTCCAGGGAGGGACATGCCTTCTTAAAAGTTAATTTGTGGAATATCTTTCCTTCTTAATGCGTTTGAGCCAATCAGTTGTGTTGTGACAAGGTATACAGAAGAAAGCCCTATTTGGTAAAAGACCAAATCCATATTACGGCAAGAACAGCTCAAATAAGCAAAGAGAAACGACAGTCCATCATTACTTTAAGACATGAAGGTCAATCAACACGGAAAATGTCAAGAACTTTGAAAGTTTCTTCAAGTGCAGTCGCAAAAACCATCAAGCACTATGATGAAACTGGCTCTCATGAGGACCACCACAGGAATGGAATATCCAGAGTTACCTCTGCTGCAGAGGATACATTCATTAGACTTACCAGCCTCAGAATATTTTGCCCAAATAAATGCTTCACAGAATTCAAGTCACAGACACATCTCAACATCAACTATTCAGAGGCGACTGTGTGAATCAGGCCTTCGTGGTCGAATTGCTGCAAAGACACCACTTCTAAAGGACACCAATAATAAGAAGAGACCTGCTTGGGCCAAGAAACACGAGTAATGGACATTAGACCGGTGGAAATTTGTCCTTTGGTCTGGAGTCCAAATTTGAGATTTTTGGATCCAACCGCGTGTCTTTGTGAGACGTGGTGTGGGTGAACAGATGATCTCCGCATGTGTAGTTCCCACCGTAAAGCATGGAGGAGGAGGTGTTATGGTGTGGGGGTGCTTTGCTGGTGACACTGTCTGTGATTTATTTAGAACTCAAGGCACACTTAACCAGCATGGCTACCACAGCATTATGCAGCGATACCCCATCCCATCTGGTTTGGACTTAGTGGGACTATCATTTGTTTTTCAACAGGACAATGCCCATCACACCTCCAGGCTGTGTAAGGGTTATTTTACCAAGGAGAGTGATGCAGTGCTGCATCAGATGACCTGGCCTCCACAATCCCCTGACCTCAACCCAATTGAGAGGTTTGGGATAAGTCGGACGGCAGAGTGAAGGAAAAGCAGCCAACATGTGCTAAGCATATGTGGGAACTCCTTCAATACCGTTGGAAAAGGCAAAGGGTGGCTATTTGAAGAATCTCAAATCTCAAATATATTTTGATTTGTTCAACACTTTTTTGGTTACTACATGATTCCATATGTGTTATTTCATAGTTTTGATGTCTTCACTATTATTATTATTTAAAAAAATCTAATGAGTATGTGTGTCCAATCTTTTGACTGGTTCTGTAAACTATACCCATAGCATATGCCTGGGTACCACCTTGACATCCCTGATCTGCTTGACCTTAATAAATTAATGCTAGAACATTGTTCACCAGGATTAGATATTTGTATCTAGTTTCTTAATAATTGCATAACGGTTAAAGTTAGACATGTTGATTATAGTCATGATGAGAGGTGATGCAAGGCTCTCTACCTTGACTAGATCCTCTAGAGACAAACAGGGCCTGTTGCATTTATTCACATAATATTGGAGTCAGATTGATACATTTAGTTTACTATTATTATGTTCAACATAATTTCTACATAATGGTTGGATAATTTCCATCCAACTACAAAATGGGTGGGATATTCACCACACTACAATATAAGTACACTAGGAACAATTCATCCATAATTAACTTTTCCTTTTTAAAATGTCAGCTACGTATGTAGACCTCTTTGACCCACTTACGTCATAGTGCATCTGGTCATATCTCATGCAGATTACAGATTACACAATTGACATTGACCAGAAAATGATACACAGTCTCGACTCCATTCAACATTAGCATGTTGATATGCTTTAGAATAATGTAATCGATATCATAGATCACTCATGGAGCACTCAAATGAACTTGCCCGTGGATCCATTTTCCATTGATCGCTATAATTTAGAATGAGTGAAGTCCACATAGAGTTCACTAGTCTTTGTCCACCAAGACCTTGATTAGAACTGAGGGGAAATCTCCAGAGACTCACTTCATCTAATTCATTACGACTACATATAAAACAAAGACTATAGTGATGCGTACCAAATGGCACCCTATTCCCTATATAGTGCAGAGCTTTTGTCCAGAGCCCAGTGCACTATTTAGGAAATAGGGTGGCATTTGGGACGCAGTCTAGGTCTATACCTAGAGTGCACTCATCCAAATCAAACAGGAGATCAGTAGTACTCCATTAAACTCACCATAGCAGTACAGGAGAAGCACTATGAGCTTCCTAGGCCGCAGATCCATTGGGCTTGAGGAGTAAGAAGAGTGAGATTAAAATCCCGTTCCCACAGTTTGTACTCCTTTGTCCAGATTTACTCAGGGAGCACACACCATGTGATGTTTAGTAAATACGACTCCAGTCAAAGAGAAAAATATGAATGGTCCAGGTCCAAAATCAATGAAGACACAAGGAGAGACCAAGTCCCTATCCTCCGGGTATTGGAGAGCAGATCTGGGCTTCATAGGATATCCTCCCCACCACCTGAATCGTCTCTGACCAGCTCAGGGAAAGGAGCACGCATCCCCAGGTGGACTTTGGAACCTTATCAACTTTGTTCCTGTAATTTCTCTCCCTATGCACAACCTCCCTCCCACAAAGTCTCTATTGCTGTGTTGCTGGCTGTCTTCTCTCTCTCTCTCTCTCTCTCTTTCTATTTTTCTTTCTATTTTTCTTTCTCTTTCTCTTTCTCTCTCTCTCTCTCTCTCTCTCTCTCTCTCTCTCTCTCCCCCTTGCTCTCTCTCTCTCTATCTCACTCTCTCTCTCTCTCTTGCTGTCTCTCTCTCTCCTGTTCTTGTCTTTCAGGTTTTACCTGAAAATGGATCCAGGTAAATTATTACAAAGGAGATAGAACATTCAAACAATGGTATGATACATAACTAGTGATTCAAGGTGTGTACAGAATGTGAATTATTGTATCGGAATGAATTAAGGAGAGTCCAATAAATATGGCTTCAATTGATCTTTGTATGATACTTATGGAAATCTGATTGTAGAGTTGTCAAGGCGTGCTGAAGGTGGGTGTGGTGTAGGAATCATGCGCAGGACACAGAGGCTCAGTCCAAAGGCTTTAGTGCAATAAATATATATCCAACCGAAGCAAAATAAGCCCGAAGGCAAAATGCACGACGCACACAGGCGACAAAACGAATGACGCACAAACATGTGCAAACAACCCTCTCAAACACTGGAGGGAAAATGTAGCTCCAAAACACAAAACAGTAGTACAATCACACACAACGACAAGCACACACAACGAGAACTAAATAGGGCACTAACGAGGACTAACAAGACACAGGTGTACAACATCCAGACAAAACCAATCGAACATGAAACATAGATCGGTGGCAGCTAGTACTCCGGGGACGACGACCGCCGAAGCCTGCCCGAACCAGGAGGAGGAGCAGCCTCGGCCGAAACCGTGACAGTACCCCCCCCTTGACGCGCGGCTCCAGCCGTGCGCCGACCCCGGCCTCGGGGACGACCAGGAGGACGCGGAGCAGGGCACGCGGGATGGTCCCGGTGGAACTCCGACAGGAGAGATGGGTCTAGGATGTCCCTCCGCGGCACCCAGCACCGCTCCTCCGGGCCGTACCCCTCCCACTCCACGAGATACTGAAGACCCCCCCATCCGGCATCTAGAGTCCAAGATGGACCGAACGGTGTACGCCGGAGCCCCCTCGATGTCCAGTGGGGGCGGAGGAGTCTCCCCTATCTCATTGTCCTGGAGTGGACCAGCTACCACCGGCCTGAGAAGAGACACATGGAACGAGGGGTTAATATTCCTATACTCAACAGGTAGATGTAATCTATAACATACCTCGTTCAATCTTCTCAGGACTTTAAAGGGCCCCACAAACCGCCGACCCAGCTTCCGGCAGGGCAGGCGGAGGGGTAGGTTTCTGGTAGAGAGCCAGACTCGATCTCCGGGTGCGTACACCGGCCCCTCACTGCGGTGGAGATCGGCGCTCGCCTTGTGACGAAGGACGGCCCGCTGCAGGTGGACGTGGGCAGCGTTCCACGTCTCTTCCGAGCGCCTCATCCAATCATCCACCGCAGGGGCCTCGATCTGGCTCTGCTGCCAAGGTGCCAGAACCGGCTGGTACCCTAACACACATTGGAAGGGGGTTAGGTTAGTGGAGGAGTGGCGGAGAGAGTTCTGGGCCATCTCGGCCCAGGGAATGTACCGTGCCCACTCCTCCGGCCGGTCCTGGCAATACGACCTCAGAAACCTACCCACATCCTGGTTGACACGTTCTACCTGCCCGTTACTCTCCGGGTGGTACCCTGAGGTAAGGCTAACCGAGACCCCCAAACGCTCCATGAACGCTCTCCAAACACGAGAGGTAAACTGGGGACCTCGATCAGACACTATATCCTCGGGTACCCCGTAATGCCGGAAGACATGGGTAAATAGGGCCTCAGCGGTCTGTAGGGCAGTAGGAAGACCCGCCATAGGGAGAAGACGACAGGCCTTAGAGAACCGGTCCACAACGACCAGGATGGTGGTATTCCCCTGAGAGAGGGGAAGGTCTGTCACAAAATCCACCGAGAGGTGGGACCATGGTCGTTGTGGAACGGGCAGGGGTTGTAACTTACCCCTGGGCAGATGTCGGGGCGCCTTACACTGGGCACACACCGAGCAGGAGGAGACATAAACCCTCACATCCCTAGCCAAAGTGGGCCACCAGTATTTAGTGCTGAGGCAATGCACCGTCCGGCCGATACCCGGATGTCCAGAGGAGGGTGACGTGTGAGCCCAGTAAATGAGTCGAGACCGAATCTCGCGCGGAACGTACTTCCGACCCTCAGGACACTGTGGAGGGCTGGGGTCGGTACGCAACGCTCGCTCGATCTCGGCATCGACCTCCCACACCACCGGTGCCACTAGGCAAGACTCCGGTAGTATGGGAGTGGGCTCAACGGACCTCTCCTCCGTGTCATACCGCCGGGACAGCGCATCTGCCTTACCATTCTGGGACCCAGGGATGTACGTGATTTTAAATACGAACCTGGTGAGAAACATACTCCATCGAGCCTGGCGAGGGTTCAGTCTCCTCGCTGCCCGGATGTACTCCAGGTTCCGATGGTCAGTCAAAATGAGGAAAGGGTGTTGAGCCCCCTCAAGCCAATGCCTCCACACCTTAAGGGCTTGAACTACAGCTAACAGCTCCCTGTCCCCAACGTCATAGTTACGCTCCGCCGGGCTGAGCTTCTTACTGTAAAAGGCACAGGGGCGGAGTTTAGGTGGCGTGCCGGACCGTTGAGAGAGAACGGCCCCTATACCAGCCTCAGACGCGTCTACCTCGACCTGAAAGGGTAATGCGGGATACGGATGCGCTAGCACCGGAGCCGACGTAAACAGGTCCTTCAGTCTCCTAAAGGCCCTGTCCGCATCGGCTGACCACTGCAGGCGCACCGGACCCCCCTTCAGAAGGGACGTGATGGGAGCTGCCACCTGTCCAAAACCCCGGATAAACCTCCGGTAGTAATTCGCAAAGCCCAAAAACTGCTGCACCTCTTTTACAGTAGTTGGGGTTTGCCAATTACGCACAGCGGACACACGATCCACCTCCATTCTCACCCCTGACGCGGACAACCGATAACCCAAAAACGAGACCGACTCCTGGAAAAACAGACATTTCTCTGCCTTGACATATAGGTCGTGCTCCAACAGCCTCCTCAATACACGCCGCACCAGGGTTATATGCTCGGCTCGGGTAGACGAGTACACCAGAATGTCATCAATGTATACGACCACCCCTTCTCCCTGCATATCCCGGAAAATGTTATCTACGAAGGATTGGAAGACTGATGGAGCATTCATCAACCCATATAGCATGACGAGATATTCGAAATGACCAGACGTGGTACTAAACGCTGTCTTCCATTCGTCACCCTCCCTAATGCGCACCAAGTTATACGCGCTCCTGAGATCCAGTTTTGTGAAAAACCGCGCTCCATGCAATGACTCCGTCATGGTCGCAATCAGAGGGAGTGGATAACTGTATTTCACAGTAATCTGATTGAGACCACGGTAATCAATGCACGGGCGCAACCCTCCATCTCTCTTTTTCACAAAAAAGAAGCTCGAGGAGGCGGGAGAAGTGGGGGGCCGAATGTATCCCTGTCTCAAAGATTCGGCTATATAAGTCTCCATAGCTTTCCTCTCCTCTTGAGACAAAGGATACACATGTGTGACACTCTGGCTCTATGGACTTTATAATTGAGCCAGGGTTGTTCATTTTCATGTGTTTGGGTGTATTTCTTTTGGTGGTGTTGGGGATGGGTGAGTTTCATTTTGGTTGTGTCTATGGTGATTGGTCTATGACTCCCAATCGGAGGTAACGAGTGTCAGCTGTCGGCTCGTTATCTCTGATTGGGAGCCATATATATTCTGTGTGTTTTCTCCTTTGTTTTGTGGGTTATTGTTTCCGTGTTGCTGTTAGTCTGTATCAGTATTTGAACTTCACGTATCGTCATTTGTTGTTTTCTTCGTGGTTGCTTTAAATAATAAAGTCATCATGTTCACTCCACGCGCTGCGTATTGGTCCGCTCCTTCAGACGATCGTGACAGAATAACCCACCACAAAAGGACCAAGCAGCGTAACAAGCGGCAACAGGACCTACCTACACAGGAGTTATGGACGCCTCCTAAGGATTTTTGGACATGGGAGGAGATTCGGGCTGGAAAGGGTCCTTGGGCACAACCGGAGGAATATCACCGCCCTCGTGAAGAGCTGGAGGCAGCCAAAGCCGAGAGGAGGTGGTACGAGGAGGCAGCGCGAAGGCGAGGCTGGAAGCCCGTGGAAGAGAGGCAACCCCAAGAAATTTTTTGGGGGGGGCACATGGCTTGGCCAGCTGGGCAGCAGGAGGCTGCCACAGGGAGAAAAGGAGAGAAGGCTATCGGATTACGGGAGCCATTGGCGAGTAGAGGGAGGGAAGTTGTTGTGGCACGGCATGAGAGACTGAAGTGTGTTACCAGTCCGGTCCGGCCCGTTCCTGATCCCCAGTTAAGGCCAGTGGTGTGTGTTCCCGGTACGGACCGGCCTGTTCCTACTCCACGCACCAGGTCCACGATGTGCGTCGCCAGCCGGCCTGAACTGGCCGTCTGCCCAACGGCGCCTGAACTGCCCGTCTGCCATGAGCCTTCAGAGCCGTCCGCCAGGCAGGAGCCGCTAGAGCCTTCCGCCAGACAGAATCATACACCTGCTATGGAATCAGCAGGAGCTGACGCAGCCCATACTAGACTGGAAGCTCAGGTTCGGGACCAGAAAGAGCAGCTCCTGCAGATGGGAGCCGCCCTGCTGGAGGTGATGACTGCAATCCGAGGCTGGGGTCCGCCTCCACCGCCAGCCGCCCAGCCAGCACCATCAGCCAGCCATGAGCAGCCAGATCTGTCAACCAGCCAGGAGCAGCCAGATCCGTCAGCCAGCCAGGATCCGCCAGAGCCGTCCAGCCAGGATCCGCCAGAGCCGTCCAGCCAGGATCCGCCAGAGCCGTCCAGCCAGGATCCGCCAGAGCCGTCCAGCCAGGATCCGCCAGAGCCGTCTAGCCAGGATCCGCCAGAGCCGTCCAGCAAGGATCCGCCAGAGCTGTCCAGCCAGGATCCGCCAGAGCCGTCCAGCCAGGAT